TCAATTGAGCATTTGCTGGAACTTGGAACAACCCACCCGCCTCATAATATTTTATTTTGTTTTTTTTGCAGACTTCTAACATGTCGGGAAACCAAACTTGCATTGTCCAAAACAACTAGCAAACACATGAAAACTTTGAAGGTAGCACACATTGGCATGCCAATCTCTTTTTATACACTCAATTTAATGGTATTCTTCTTTCAGGCGCGCATCATGAAATGTTCCGACCTGTTGCGTTGAAGAATGTCGTCAAGCAATTTCTCCTGTACCTTTTTGCTGTGCGTTAGTGCCGTTATTTGTGTGTGTTTGTTTGTGAAACACAGATTCATTGAAAATCCCAACGTCCTTGTTACGCTATATACATATTTACAATATCTATTTTTAAGTTTTTTTTTTATATGTTCATCGTATTTTTTATATGTTTTTCGTGGTGTGTTACGCAGAAATTAGTGCAAATGATTGTATGCAAGCAGTAGTGTGTATGCGTTGTTTTTTTTTTTACTCACTTTGCTTATGGAAACTCGTCAATTCCCTAAATACGTGTGCACAAAAGCACTCTCATTGGGGAATATACAAGTTCTCATTGTCAAAGTTTGCAAAAAAAAAAACATAGACGATGCATAAACCACACGATTTACGTGCTAATAACACTTCCACGGGTAACTTTTTGATGGCATTCTAGAAATGATAATTACAAAAAAAAACGCAAGAATGCTAAATATAAATACTTTTTCAAACTAGTCTGGGGATATATTTTGAAAACCTAATACTGTATGTATGTATTTGTCACTGTTGTCACAGTCAAAACTTTGAAGTAGTGAAGGATTTTGTTTACTTAGGATGCAGCATAAACACCACCAATAATGTCAGTCTGGAGATAAAGCGAAGAATAACTCTTGCCAACAGGCGCTGCTTTGGGACTCGGTATCCGATTGAAAAGCAGAGCCCACTCTCGACGAACGAAAATCACACCCTACAAATCTCTCGTCATGCCCGTACTCTTATAAGGCGTTTAAACATGCGACGTTCGCGTTTGCGTATTCTACGCAAGATCTATGGTCCCGGTCGCGTGGGAGACGAATACCGATGAAGATGTAATGAGGAACTGTACGAGCTTTTTATAACATTACAACATGGTTAAGTGCATAAAAATACAACGATTGCGCTGAATGGATGACTACGCTCCTGTGAAAAGATCCTTCCACTACGCACCCATGGATGGAAAACGAAAGCAAGGCCGGCCAAGAACACAATGGACGGACCAAGTGCAGAAGAGCCTGTCCGGCGAAGTTGTTTGTGGTCTCGGCCCAAACCTACAACTGGCTGTAGTAGTGCCAAATAAGAAGAATTTCGAAAAAAGTGTTGGCAGGCAAACTTTCATGCAAATTTTAAACTTTTTGTAGCCCAATCAGTTTTATTGTAATAAAGTAGAAGTTCTAAGTAGCTACGAATTACCGTTAATTTTTTTGCAATTTTCGCGGTCTTCCATACAAAACAAAAAAAATTCGAAAATACTTGCATATGTATATGAAAAAAATTCAAACAAAAAAAAATCTCAAAAATCAATACGATTTTTGACTAAATCCGAACTTGCATTTTTTATACTAGAATTTAATGGGCTACAAAACTGTATACTCGCTCCACTATATCTGCGTTCAGCCTTGTTTTTATTTTACCTTCCTTTTATTATTAATTAGCTCGGGATGTAACTATGTAATATTGATGCGCATAAAAGATGCAGCGATTTCTATTCTCAAGTTACATACCTGATGACAGTACGAATGGCAATTATAATAGGGAGGTTTTAATTTTTTAAACATAACTTTATTTTAAATATGCATAATGTTTTGCAAGCAATATTTTTTTTGTTATTTTTATACAAAAATTTTGTTTGTACAAAAATATGGTTCATGATACAAACAAAGTTTCAAACTGTACAAAATTAAGGAAAATTTGATGAAGATCATGAAAATTTTAACCTTTTAACTCGAAATTTTTTGAAGAAAATTTCTGGTATACAGTTTTATAGCCCATTCAATTTTAGTATGAACAGTTTGAAACTTGATTTATGTGGTTTTGTTTGTAGCATGAACCATATTTTTGTACAAAAATAACAACAAATCATAGCTTGCAAAACATTGTGAATGTTAAAAAAAAACAGCATGAACGAAGATTTAGTGGAGCAAGCGTACATACTGACAGATCTCTCTCAGCTCTCTCCACCGGCAAATCTGCTATTCAATCATTTCATTTCATCATTGGCAAACCGCTTGTGTGGCGTATTTAGCTCTAAAGGTGAAATTAGTCAAGAACACAGAACTTATAGTTAAACGCGCCTGTGTACGCAGAATTTTGTGGGTTATTGGAGCACTCAGTGCTGCCACTCATAAATGCCTTTTCATACACCTACCTTTTCAACTACAATTTTTCATGCTATAATAGATGCTAGCTAAATATAAACTACTTATTTTTAAACAAAAACCCTTATTCGATGGTAAATTTCAAATATTTTAAACGTATTTTGAATAGGAACTTATAACCATCTGCGAAACTGACGATGTGGCAACCATCTATAGAACGAAGAAATCAGGTATCACGAAAAAATCTAAATTCCGCAGATTTCTGCGCTACGGGCTACAACTAGGGCTTCTTCGAGTTGCAATCACAACCGCAAGTTGCGCGAATTATAAAAGTATCGCGTTCTGTGTGAATTTCTAGCAATGTATTATCAGTTGGGCAGTTGCAACAATGGTGCCATTTTTCATCAGTACGGCAGTAATGCCGCTTTTATTACGTGCCTCGAACAGGCCCCTACAGAAACATTCTGCGGTGTTGAGTTCACTTACATGGCGCTCTGGTAAGAAAGATCGTGTCAGATGACTCGGGTTTACGTACCGGTAGGTTTCCGATCTCGACTAATTTCACCTTTAACCGCTTCCGGCAGTGATGCATTTGGGCCCGAACCGTTAAGGATTGAATCACGAAATGGAATGTCAGAAAAGTTAAAAAAGCTTTTTGGTTTCGTTTTAATTAATTGGAAATAGAATTTTAAGTTTACTTGGGATGGGATATTATATGGGACGAAATGCACTAACGGAAATACAGGGTGAGAGCCCGTGTTTATCACCCTGTACTTCGGGTATTCCATTCCAATTATTTGCGGTAGTGCATTCCAGAAAATTTCCAGCAAGTTTGACATTCCATTTTGAACTGACATCCTAAACGGTTTGGGCCAATTGAGCAAATTAATTAATCCGTGGGTGTAGTTTATAGTTTACTTGGCGTTTGGAAAAGGCGAAAGAATTGTGCTCTACGTTGCTGATATCTGTGCCGTGTAAACATTCAAGTAGCAAAAAAGTGTATTAGCTATTAGCCAAGAATTTGTTGCGTTTGCGAACATTGGCGGTTGCGGCGGCAGCGGACGTATGTAGAAATTTGTTTATAATAAAAGTTTTTGAAAAGGAATTTCAATTTGCATTGATTGTTGGCATTGTGGTGTGTGCGCGAAAAAAAAAACAGATTGACCGTCGGTGTATCAAGATACAAAACACCAATTCTAAAGGGTGTGGTTGTTGTGCAGTGGTCGATTATCCAAGAGTTGGAATACATATAATTGATTAACAAATTCATAAATTTTCATATCTACATATGCGCTGTGGTTTTTGATGAAGCAGCATACGCTGGCATTCCAGGCAGCGGTGAATGGCAAACGAAAACGTATTTAAGATACTGTGAATTAATTTATGCGAAACGCGAGCGAAATTAATTGAAAAATGTATGCAAATTTGGCGATGTACGGGTTTGGTGGCGGTGATGGTAGCACGTCCGATTTTGATTGGTATTTCAGGCATTGACATTGCCGATTGGGAAAGGGGATAACTCCGCGGTAGTGAAACGCTGCGACGACCGTGCTGCTCGATAAATAAGGAAGAAGCTCAGAATAATACAAAAGATTATTTCTTTATCATAAACAAAAAGAAATGCTGTCAACGTTCCAGCGCCTGCTATGTAGTGCATGTGTAAAAACAAAAACAAAGAAGCCAGTGCAAAAGTTGCATTGACGTTGAAAGCAGCGACGCCGACTTCAGTGGTGACAGCGTACTGTTGACAGCGACTGCATTTTATTACGAACAGGTGCATACAAAGAGCAAGACGGTCGCTTTTGTTGGATGGCCGGCGTAACGAGCTAAAGCAAACAGACGTTGCAGAGACGACAACACCAACCACAAAGTTGACGAAATGTCCCGGCTTGCTGATTATTTTGTTATTGTCGGCTATGATAACGATAAAGAACGTGAGTAATTTGTCACATAAATTTTTGCATAATTAATTTTTTGTTATACATACAGTGGTGGCATCATAATTAGAGGCACAAGTTCTTACATATATTTTTTCTTTATTTTTAACCGACTAAAAAAAATGTACACTTAGATATCAATACATAGGAATATTTATTTTTATGTATGTTACCGAATAACTTTGGCCCACGTGAACCGTGATTATTCTATTTTTTCGAAAAGATTGTACGTCAAGGGTGAGGGAAGATTGTACGTCACGGGTAAAATCCTCAAAAATTGGAGCTACTTCAATTTTGCACAATATTATGATTAAAAAAATTAATGGACTATAATACAGCATACACGAATCTTTTATACAAAATTTTATTAAAAAGTATATAGTTTTAGTTTGTAAAAAATATATTTAATTAAAGAAAAAGTCGTGTTCATAATTATTTGGTCACCACTGTACATACATACATATGTATGTACCGTGTAGAACAAGAAATGGTTGACAGCTTTAAAAGATCTTAATTATTTTGTATTTTTTGTAAAAAGGGATTGTTCAACAAAATTCATTTAAGGTGGTGTTTTGAGAAAACAGCTGATTTTTTTTTTTATACGCTTGGCATGTATTTTGTTTTTGCTGTTGGTGCTAGCGCCTTGCATAAATTCGCCTCGATAAAAATATTGCTTAGATTTTTGGCTCAGTGGCATGGTTCATACTGAAATTTGAGGTCGTCCATATGGGAAAATGATCTTCATATGAATATATCAGACTTTCCCATTAGCACTGAAATGGACAATTTCGGATTTGTGCGAAAAGACTACTTTTCTCCAAGACTTTGGTCTATATTTTATGCAGTTTACTCATTGGAGAAAATTCAGCTACGTTTAATTGACAAAAGTGACTTCTTGGTGACATAATGGCCCGCTGTGCAATGAATGTTGCACTCCTTATATAATCTGCTGGATCAACCCGGACACAACGGTCGCATCCGCTTACCCGCAACAACCCACATCTACTTACAGTCAGTCAATAAAGGTTAGGTACAGTGAATTTTTTTTAAAATACGGGCAACTATTTTTAAAATATTAATTTTTCGCAAATTTTTTATAAAATTGTGGTTAATTCTACAACAAAAACCCTTAAAATCAGAGTCCCAAACCTTGTGCATAATTAAAGAAAATTCCACAAAATTTCATTCAAATATTGCACTTTTTATTTACGCTTTTTTTGTCCGCTACTGTACATATCGCACACCGTCTTCAAAAGAGGCACAACTCAAAATAATACGTTTGTCAAAAAATGCGAAAAACTATTTCTTAGCACATAATTATATGGGCAAAACCTACGGTAAGTTTTTTTTAACAAATTATAACAAAAATTTAATCCAGCTTTTGCTGAAAGATAAATAAAAGCTCTGCGTACATTTTTAGCGTATAATCTCAAAAATGCCAAATTTTGAGTTGTGACTCTTTTGAAGACGGTGTGCGTTATGTACATAGATACATCAGAATCGTTTACTTTCGTATGCAACAATTTGGTTGCTATTTTAAAATCTTTGTTTTTTTTTGTATCAATGTAGTGAACAATTAGATAAATGAATTTTGTTAATTTAGTTAATTGGTAATGTTATGCAAGTAAATTTTCTGCGATATTCTAATTTGATTGTTTAAAATTTCTAGGAACTGCTGCTGGTAGCAGCCAAATGTCATGCGGCAAGATCGTGCAGCGTTTCCCGGAAAAGGACTGGCCGGATACGCCATTTATTGAAGGCATAGAATGGGTATGAAATATTTGCCTAGTGCACAAAGGCGCATACAAACATACATATGTACATCCATAAGAATTTTCATATGAGTAACTAAAGAACTATTTTTACATGGAAGCATGTACATACATATGTATGTATGTGTGTATTTATAAGCTGAGTTTAATATCGGCCATACAATATGCTATTGTTTCAACATTTTTTTTTTATTCATAAGTATGCTATGTATGCACTTGTTCTTTGGCGGCAATGCTAGTAATTTACAAAATAATCATTTGCATATTAAAGTATATGTAAACGATTATCTTTTTTTAACCGAACTTTGTTCTTTTCTCTATTCCCTTGTGTGACCATATGTACTTCATAAATGTGACTCAATTGCACTGCAATAGTTTTGTCAACCACTTGGTTGGGGTTTATCGTACGATAAGCAAGAACCGAAATTTTTCACTTCCGTACTCACTGATATCGATGCCAACAAGCACTATTGCGCCTGCCTTAGCTTCCACGAAACATTGGCCATCACACTTAATAAAGTCATCGATGAGGAGGATGAAGCGGCGGCAACTGTCGGCGGTATTGCTGGCTCGAAATTTCAGCCACCCATTGCGGGTAGCAGCAGTGGTGGTGGAAGTGGCAACAATAGCATTATTTCACATCACAGCGTCATGTATGCGCCGAAATGTCTTGTGCTAATATCACGGCTCGATTATGCAGAGACTTTCAAGGTATGTATGTAGAGAATGCTGTTTAATGGCAAGTTAATGTAAACACACGCATCTAATTTTAATTTTCGTTTTGTTTACAGAACTGTCTCGGCACTATTTACACCGCATACATTGAGAATCTGCCTTACGCGCTGGAGAATCTTATTGGCAACATACTTGGCTGTATACAGGTGCCACCTGCTGGCGGTCCACAAGTACGTTTTTCCATAGGCGCTGGCGATAAGCAATCGCTTCAGCCACCACAATCACCATCGCTGCCAGTAACGGGCACAGCTGTTTACTTTGTTTTTAAGCAGTTAGGTAAGCATTGTATGCACAACTACGTGTACAAACTTATTTAGATGAAAGCACACTTGCTGTAGTATATTTAAAAATACCTTTTAATACTAATTACATAATTTTACTATTATCAATTTTACATAATTCATTGCGCTACACTTGAATATTCGATATACAAACCACCACCAAACCACAACATGCCGCTCATATGTTTTGTTTGGCGTATTCAATTGCCTTCATACGCCTGTTGATTTGTTCTACAAAACTATCGCCGCTAGGTATTAAGAATGTACTTATACTGCTGTGCGCCGTTATGACGGAAAATAAAATTCTATTTCATTCGAAAAGCTACTCACATTTGACTGAAAGCTGTAAAGCACTGGTATCGCTCATGTATCCATTCAGGTAAAAATCTCATTTGAAAAGCAAATAGGTTATTCACAAGGTGTCGTAAAGTCGTATGTTCTTATGTCGTAAAGTTTTAACGGTTTAATACGTCTTAGCAGTGGGTAAACTTTTAATATGACTTTTATGAAACCTTTCGGATGTTAAAATACGCTTTTATACGTAAAAAAGTGTACGTCATGAGACAATACGAAATTTACGACACCCTTGCGAATACCCCAATTGTACATACATACTTTCGTACGCTTTGAATTAAAGTAGTAGGCCTCATATATAAACATTCGTACTTGCTATTACGAACATTTAAATTTATATTAAATCTATATACATATTTATCTTTTCTCAGATATACGCACGTGTACATTCCGATACTACCAGCACCGCTAACCGAAGTGCTATCCACTCCCACCCCCTTCATAATGGGCATACACAGTTCACTGGTGAGCGAAATCACCGATCTGCTGGATGTTATCGTCGTTGACTTAGATGGTGGTATGGTAACGATACCGGAATCACTCTCACCACCAGTACCCATACTGCCATCACCACTTTGGGAGCAGACACAGGACTTGCTGGCAATGATATTATTTCCCAATCTATCACAGGCCGATTTAGCCTTCCCCTCGCTCGAAAAGCCAACGAACTACCCAAAATCGGATGCTATAATTGATAAGGAATTGCGTGCGATTTTCATGCGACTGTTTGCGCAATTGTTGCAGGGGTAAAGTGGCTTACACATACATATTTCAAATATATTTTTAGTATAACATTTATTTTATATATTCTTACAGCTATCGCTCATGTCTGACCATAATACGCATACATCCAAAACCGGTGATTACATTTCATAAGGCCGGCTTTCTTGGTGCTCGTGACTTAATTGAAAGTGAATTCCTGTTTCGCGTTTTAGACAGCATGTTCTTCACCACATTCGTAAATGAGCGTGGCCCACCGTGGCGTTCTGCAGACGCTTGGGATGAATTGTACAGTTCGATGAATGAGATTTTGAAGAGTGAGGCGCAAAATAGGAGTTTGGTAAGCTGGAGATGTTCACTATTTACAGCTTTGTAATTAATCCCTCAATTTGTTTCAGATTTCAATACACATCCAGGAATTGGGTAAAACGCTCTACGAAAACGAATTTCCCAGCCAACAAGTTTACGCACAAAAAGTGCTCCGCCCACCAGACGGTTCCTTCCACCGCATACATCAGCCTGCATTTCCACGCATTAACAGCGAAAAAGTAGAGCTAATCATAAACGATGGCATGCGTAAGAATTGCATTTCGCATCGCCTGACAGTGTTGCGTAATCAAATGCGCATCATACCCATGGGTCCACGCTTGCCCGAAGTGCTGGAAGTGCGTCCGGCAGTATTAAATTCAGCGCGACGACTTGAGGTATACATTTCCGTACAAAGTAAAGTTTACATTCTATTAACACAATATTTTCCTCTCATTTCAAAAGGTACTTAAAACTTGTGTTGCTTACATTTTTGAAAACAAAATTGCCGACGCGCGAAAGCTCGTACCGGCTGTGATGCGCACACTCAAGCATCGTGATGCACGCCTCATACTTTGTCGTGAACTATTCGGCTATGTGCATGGTAATAAGGCAATACTCGATCATCAGCAATTCGATTTAGTTATAAAGTAAGGGTATTTTTAGTTTTCTTTTTTGAATCATCAAATCCTTCAATATATATATTTTTAATTTACAGATTTATGAATAAAACCGTGCAAAATTCCACCGGCGTCGATGAGTACACTGTTGCAGC